ATTTATATGTACAGATATATATATAAAAATGAATATATTTTAACAATAAAAAAGAGTATAAATAAAAATATTGTAATACAATAAAAATTTATATAAAAATTAAAATCACAAAAATAAAATAAAACAAATAAAATATATAAAACAAAATGCTAATTAAATTTTTAAAATTGAAGGAAAAAATTCGTCCAATAAAATTTATCTTTACATTTAATAATGCAAAAAAAAAAAAAAATAAATAAATAAAAAAAATTAATATAAGATTAAAGTAAAATAAATTTTAGCATACATATTATAAAATTTCATAAAAGAATATATATAATAATTATATTACCCTAATCTGATGCATTTTTGTATAGTAATAAAAATAAATGGGTATAATAAATAATAAAAATAAAATTAAATAATAAAATTCTGGCAATTAATAATATAATAAATTTTAATAATAATAAAAACAAGTTTTAGTAAAAACTAAAAAAAAACATAACATAAACATGACATTAAAAAAAAGATGCTTTTATTATTTATATATTATATTTTCATCATATTTTTCCCCCCAAGTAATTCCCATCATCATATTGTGGTCCGATTGTTGCAGCTTATTGTCTTACATACATATTACTTTAAATCTTAAAGTATGTGTGTGTGTGTGTGTGTGTGTGTGCAAGCCAGCATATACACTTATCACAAATCTACACTCAGTTGGTCCTTATTCGATTCTGTTCGACACTATTTCAAGTTCATCAGATTCCCCTATGGTTCATCTCGGCCTTTTCCTCTCGCATATCTCTTCGGCAATCGCGCCTAGTTTTTTTTTCCATTTTCTTGTAGAATTTATGACGTCTGCAGCATAAGTTAGCGCTGAGCATGCCTCTTCCAGTTTATAGTTTTTACTATAACACTTTTCAGGCTGCCTTTGTAAGCTATATGCTTGGAAGGTTTTCCCTAAAGCCTGGCTGCATCCCATTCAGCGTAAAGCTCGACATGCTCATAAAAATCTGGCCAAATATTGCACATATGCACAAGGACACACACACACACAGCTATACATATATGTATATGTTTATATATATGTATATATATGTATGTACTTCCATGTCTGCCAAGTTGAACAATCTTTTATTTGCGTGGCTTTGTTTTGCGTTACGCTTGAGCTGTTAAAATTTTATGTGCCAAAATTTACGTGTTGCACACTGAATGGGCGTTAAGGGGCGTGCCGCTGCTCCAATGCACACACACACACATATATATGTATATCTCTGTGTATATACACCCACCATGTATGTGTGTGTGTGTGTGTGCTTATACTGTTTATTTGGCCCACATGGATGTACATATATGCGATTGAGTGCGTGTGTGTGTGTGTGTGTGTCTGTGTGTGTGTTTATTCATTTATTTGTTTGCTTCGTTGGTTTGTTTATTTGTGTGCACCATGTGATTTATGCGTTGGCAATGTGTAAACTTTAGCTGCGCTCATATTTCCATTATTGGTTTATCCCCGTCGCATTCTTCCTCTTCGGCAACTTTCCACAGATGAAATATTGCGTATACGGAATGTGGGACAGCCAAACAGCATCAGCATCGGCAGTCGTTACGCGCCAGTTAAACAACAGCCAACGTGTGTAAACTAATAAAAAACAAAAACTATTCCAACTGATTTACTACAACACACTGCGGTCACGCCCACAAGCCGCGAACCGCAGCTCAGCTTCGGCAGCGGCAGCGGCAGCCGCAGCAACAAATTCAAATTAAACAATAAAATGGGCGCCAAAAAAAGATTTGCGGCTTTCGTTCGTTGTTGTTGTTGTTGTTGTTGTTGTAGTTCACGCAACCCTTTAAGGCTTTACGGCCTTAACCATATTCATGCGGCTGAGTCGCATTGCGGGCAACCGCATGCCAATTTGCCAGGGGCGTGCCAACCAATTGTATTTGGCTCCATTGTGAATTGGTTGTATTTTATTCATACACTAGCAAACGCCACTGCCACTGCCACTGCCACTGCCCTTTGTCTAGAGCACTAGGTATACCGTCGAATACTTTGTCAGCTCGCACTGCACATAAGTATGCTATAAAAAATGTATATAATTTATTCCATCTTGAAATTGACTCAGTTCGCTGTAAATATGTCCACACCCACCCACACACACACACACATACATACAGATGGCATAATTTATGCATGAAAATGCTCAATGTGTGATAGACCTGAATAGAGATGGGCATAAAAGAGAGAAAGCTATATTTATTTAAATTAATATTTATGCGATTTCAATGTCTTTTGTCATGCTTGACTGAAGGCGTCCAAGAGCCGTCTTTGCTTTGGGCTGACTATAGTCATGACCTAAGCTACATTACAGAGAGCAGCTACTAGGTAATTGTTATTGCAATTGATATTGTCATTGTTATTACTAAAAGTTAGTATAAACTATGAGTTTCAAGAGAATCGAGGCATTCTATACGCCTAGCGCGGAGTTTTGTGCAAAAGAAGAAGCAGAAGAGCTTAATAATATATAACAGAGAAAACAAGCTTGCTCTCTTTTCATTTCAGAAAAGTCTCAACAACTAAAAGCGGCCTCGATCTAAACTCTGCGCTTCTCTCAAGCATAGATAGCAAGCACACACATACATACACAGCGTAACATGGGGGGGCTTACCATGGTAACTTTTTGTGGAATAACTTTTCCTGCACAGAGAATTTCTTAATTAAACTTTCAAAATCTTCTAGTGACATTCGTATGTGCGTATTTCCCAAAGTCTCTAGTGTGTGAAGGGAAGGGAAACTCGGAATTACAAAATCTCGGGATTTATTACACGGATTTCATAAGGTCTAGGAACTTTGGCTTCTACGGTACTCGCAAATGCTTAAAAGACTAAATAAATTGATCGACTCTTATGAATAATAGGGATTCACGAATGAACAGACGGCCGACTAGACAGACACTCAGACGAACAGGGGACCACGAGCTCTGCTCACCATTCTAATCCAGATACTTGAGAGTATCTGCGAGGCCTCCAACTTCAACAATGTTGTACAGCACTGCGAATGCTTCGCACCACACACACACACACGCACACACACACACACACACACACACCTAACCCCACACATATTGCTGTCCGTTATGCCACATGCCACCACACAAAAGTTGCTAATTGGAAATCAGCTGATTGAAGAGGCTTTTGGGGGCTCCACTTCTGTCACTTTCGAACTTTTCACATCTCAACTTTGTTTCATTTATCAAGGGCTCATCACTTAGCCATGGTAGCTGCTGCTGGTGCTGCTCCTCCGGCTGCTGTGACATGACTTGTAGCAGCTGGCTTCAACTTGCAACGTGCAACTTCCAGTTGCAGCTTGACAGCGGCGGTGGCAGTGGCGGCGGTGGCGATGGCGGCGCTAATAAACAAATCAACTGCCGGCTGACTAAGTTATGTAAAGCGCATTAGTGACGTGCCACTTGGCACTGGTGGCGTGGTGGTATTGGTGGTGGTGGTGCAGTGGTGCACTGAAGTGGCGCTGCCTTCATTTATTTCGCGTCAGTTGCGCACCATTTTGATAGACTGTCTTTGCAGGTATATGTGTGTGTGTGTGTGGGTGTTTGTGTGGGTGTGTGTGGCTGGGTGTATGTGTGTGTGTGTGTGTGTGTGTGTGTGTGTAGAGTATGGCTCTTGATGACCAACAGTTGACAATTAAAACTTTTTGTTGTTTTTGGCTCTCAAGCAGCTAGCCAAAGGTTTGTGTGTGTGCTGTGTGTGTAATGCAAATTGAGATGACACAAAGTTGTTGCACATATTGTAATCATGATGATGCTGGCGATAATGATGCTGCGAGACAGCTGAGAATGATTTGAGCTGACTGAGAGAGAATCGCTCGTCGCTCAAATGCAAATGCCAAGGTCCACAAATTCAGTTGATGGCACGTTTTAACGGCTTAACGAGCAGTTTAACGGTAATTATATACATATATACATGTATATGTGTGTGTGTGTGTGTGTGTGTGCGACTGCCACGTAGAAATCCATCAGCGTGAATGCATGCTGTGCAGCTGCGCCGTGTTAAGCGAACAGCCCCATATGCTGCCAGCAGAGCTGAAGCTGAAGATAGTTTATATGCTAGTCGACAGCGATGGGCGGTACACGACAGGCATCGATGCATGGACATGGCCATGGGCGTGGGCGTGGGCGTGGCCATGCTAGTTGTCCTCGTGCAATGACCTCGTCTCTCTCTCTCTCCTGTTCTCTCGCCTTGGCACTTCCTTTTGGCCATTTATTTTGCGGTCTGCCAGCCAAGCAGCCAGGACTACGGACTAGCAGCTGCATGTGGGCCATGTTGGTCACATCCTTCCGCTTTGGACGCATGCAGGCATTTTATTGTTCAGCCAGAACTGCAGCAGCTGCTGCTGATAATGATAATGATAATGATAATGTTACTGATGCTGATGCTGATGATGATGATAATGCTGCTGATGATGTCCTCGGGCAGCCTTATGAGGTGGCAAAGTGTGCATGGAATGAAATATGTTGCAACACTCGGCACATCCAGCAATTGAAATCCAATTTAAATTTTTGCCCCAAATAAATTTCACTCCTGGGAGCCTGAACTCAATTTCTATGCTGCTTCTACCTTGAACTCCTTCTAGTGCTTACCTTTAATTTTTCAAGTTTTTAGCTCGACTTTATTCGGCAAATTTTACTTATAAATGAATGTATATGTATATGCCTCTGGCTATTTCCGCTAATTACTTCCAATTGGCTCTTAATTGCCTTTCATTTATCTCATTTTTGCTTTTGATATTTCCACTTTGAACATTTCGATTAAGACGCCTGAGCCCAGCCCAATTAGCAGCAGGAGTTGGGGCGTCATCAAGCTCCTAATTTGCGATAATTTATCCCAGCTTAAAAGCGTGAGAGAGAGAGAGAGAGAGAGAGTGAGGGAGAGACAGTGAGGGGAGTAGAGCTCCATTTGAAATAGAAATGAAAAGAGCAGAGACCAATTAATGATATCATAGATTTATAAGCATTCACACTAGGAATTTAATTGGTCTAACAAGACGTATGTACATAGAAATGATTGATCGCCCTCCACTCGTGACCTTTTGCATCCCATCGAATCATGAGGCAAGCTGCCAAAACGCGGACTATGTACGGTGGCGAGAATTTCGGTATAGCACTTGCATGGAGGTGGAGCACACGTCTATGCGTCGGTTGGTCGGCAGAATGCGGCACGAGGCGTTAGCGAACCAATTGAAATTTACCAATTGCAACTAAGGCTTGGCCGCAAGTATAGACTTTCCTCGTCACCTGGCGAGATAGGGAACATATCAGCACTTGACTAGCTGACACTAGTCAACTGGAGGCCAGTGGTGTGAAGCGATAAGCTAGAGATATTTACAGAAGTCGAATCCGTTGAAGCTGGGCACCTGTGGCAGCTCAGTGTTTGGGTTGTAGACACTGGTATCCGAGCATTGCGTCAGCAGATGCTTTGACTTGTCGCCACTCAACTCGTCGGCGGCGGACGGAGGCGGCACCGGCGGCATCAATGACGGGTCTAGCAAGGGCTCCTGATGCCGCAAGTCCACTAGCTCCGACTCGTCGTCGGGCTCCGATTGTATCGAGTTGTCCGCGAGCGCGAGCTTGGCCTGCGATGCTTTCATGACCTCGTTCATCTTGCGTTTCAGTTCGGCCAGCCAGCGCTCTGTGGCCTGATCGCCGCAGGTGTGCTGGAGGCGTGCCTCTATTAGCTTGTGGCCAAGGAAGGAGCTGTGCTCGAATTTGGCCACAGTGGCGGCAACACGGCCAGAATTTGCCGGTAGATGCCAGTCCTGCTGCTTGCCAGCTACTTGAGATTGGCTCTCGCCCATGCACTCGAATTTCTCGATGAGCAGCTTCACGGACCGCTTGTTGTGCATGTTCATGCAGGAGACGTGCTTCTTATCCATTGCAAGTGATACAAGTCCTAATGGAAACACAATAACAACAAGAAATTAATACAACTATTAATGTAGAACATATAAATCGAAAGACGAAAAAATAAATAACAAAAGTCTGAAATAATACGTTCGAATACAGTAAGTGCCAAATGCTGAAAGCACTCACAATTCAGTCACAGCCTCCTCCGATCACATTTCTCTCTCTCTCTCTCTCTCTCTCTCTCTGTCACTGTCTGTGTCTTTCTTTGCGCTTGTCTTGTGTGTCTCGACTTGTCCTGCCAGCGCATCAATCACAATCACTGTGCCAACATTTATGGCTGCTTGTTTGGCTGTCAGCCTTGGCAGATTACACATACGCCCCGTTCGCCCTCGGGCAAACAGCCGCGCCGCATCGGCAGCAATCAAGAGTCTCTCTCTCTCTCTCTCTCTCTCTCTCCCTTCCACTCCCCCGCTCTCTCGTGTCACGTAGATTAAGGACATTAACAAAACGTGTCAAGTCATCGCCCCAAGGCAGCCAAGCATCGTGGGCTTACCTCAAAGAGCCAAAGATTATCGTCAAGCAACCAGGCGTCTGAAGAGAATGCAGAACTTCCTAATGCGAGCATTTCATTTGAATGCCGATTATTATCGTTCAGCTCATTCAGTCCATGAAATGCGCATTCCAAGCCAGCATTGCTGCTTTCATGTTCTTTTCAATTACACTCAAGTGACCAGGGCGCTCGTCGTCGGAGCAAAAAAGTTCGAATATGCTAATCACAGCCCTCCCCATATCGGCATGGAGCAAGTGCGAAATTTGCCCTCCTTTATTTCCAGCTGAATTTCCATCGAGTGTCAGTGTGCTCTATGCATAGCCTTGAGTGCTCTAAAGTTTACATTAAGTTAACATAGCATGCAGCATGTAAAACAATATGCTTCTATATGGCCTTGAGTGCTGTAAAGTGAACATGTTGGATGCCTACTAATATGCCCTGCTCAGACTCCGAGCATTGCGGGCATGTGCCAATCATTTTTGTGTAGCCTCGAGTGCTCTAAATGTAATATGAATAATTAAGAGTGCTCTAGGCAGAGAACTGCTCGACTAGCAGATACCCTGAGCACTGAACACTGCGAGGAGAGAATATTCCAATCATTGTACGCAAATCTCACACACACATAGCCATCCATATATACAGACGCATGCATAGACTCACGCCTTTCGAGTATACAGAATTTATTAGTAAAACTTGTAATACTTGATCATGATGCTCTTAGGTAAGCACATACGCCTATGCGGAAGTCTCTAATATTTTGTGCGCATCAAATCTAACAACTCTAGCTCTTACGATACTTGAATAATGATTAGAAAGCGAAGTCAAACTATCGATATTTATCGGTGATAATTATATAAAGTGAGTTATCACAAAATTAAAGAAAAGATCAGTGATTAAATCCAGTTTTTGTGGTTAGCGAGATCTCTGCTGATGCGGACCTATCGATAAACGTCTTAATTAAGAATGTTATATTTATACGTATTTATATGAAATATTAAATGCAAAAATAAAATATAAATAATATATCATAATTAAATTGATGTCATCTGTATCCACATCTTCTGCCTGTTACGTATATATCGCAAAGCCCTGGTATCGTTCAGGTTATACAACTCCACATGGCAATGTTTACTTGAAGAGTATCAAAAAGTTATTTACCTGGTCCATTATGCGCCTTTGAACTCATGGGCCAGCTGCACCTAGTATTTCTACTAATGTATAGATAATAAAACTTTTTCCCATTGCACACATGTGTAGCTGGCCTGCGCCTGGCTCGGCATACATGCGTTGCCAGTGAATGGGCATAGTTAAAGAGAGCTAAATGCATGCGATGCATTCAGCTGTTAAATTAACTGCAGTCGCACTGAGCTTGTGGCTGGCAGTTGGACGAGCCAAACCAACGAGCAACGACCACGTTTCCCAGCTAGATGGTTAATTCCGACATGTAATTGTGAATTGCCTGTCATGCGATTTGCATGATGGTTTTCAACTTGCGCCTGATTAGCTCGACAGGTAGACATGTGTGTGTGGGTGGGTGTGTGTGTGTGTGTTTAGGGGAGATGAAAGGACTCCCATCCCTTGGCTGCCTCCCTCTTTGGGGCTGGGCCATATGCGGGCACGTCGAGGCCGTTAGCCAGTGGCAGCAAATTCGAAACGTGCCAATTTAAATGTTTAATGCTAATGGAATTGATCGGCGCACGAGGCTGGCATCGATTGCACGCAGCCAATTGAGTCGCGTCGAATGCGCGTACGAGTGAATTGCTTAATTATCATATCACTATTTCCCTTCCATTTTCCAGCCGAAGCCCCACTCTGGCCAGGACAACAGCAATAAGTGCGCAACGCCAATGCGTCCCATCAGCCCAGCGCAGCATGGAGCAGTGTAACTAGAGCGCGCACATCCAACAGTCGGCCAACCAGGTGGACAGTGAATAGCGGAAGCAGTACCTTCAAAGTCTAAAGCCGTCGCAACCAAGGCCGTCAAATTGGAAGGAAAACGCCTTTTCACGGCAGTTAACAAGTTTTTAACTGGTTCAACAATTGCCCGCGAGCTGAGGCAGCTAATGGTAAGCCAGATGCATAGAGAATGTCTCTCGAATGTGGAATGTGTGGGTGTTTAATGTAGTGTGTAGATCAGACATCTTAAATCGTAGAGCGTAGAGTTTAGAGCGTAGACGGGTAGAGCACAGAGCATTGAATGTAGAACGTAGCACGTAGAGCGTAAAGCTTAGATCGTAGAGGCTTGAGCATACATCGTAGATCGTATTGGTTAGATCGTAGAGGGTAGAGCGCAGAGCGTAGAGCTTAGACCGTCAAGGTTAGATCGTAGAGGTTAGATCGTAGATCGTAGAGCGTATGGGTTAGATCGTAGAGCGCAGAGGAGCATAGAGGTTAGATCGTAGATCGCTGTGGTTAGAGAGTAGACCGTAGAGCGCAGAGCCTGTAGAGTATATAAAGAATGAAAGGTATTCTGGTCTATGTGGCGAAAAATCTTCAGGATATTCTTTGCCTATATGTCATTCCGTTATTTCGCTCGCATCACGAAATGCAAAAAAGTCTCTTGCTATAATTTGAAGTCGTTCTTAGATATTTTTATTGATTTCGCGTCGCGTTTCCATTAAAATTTGATACCGTTTTGTACACGCTCTGCCCGATAGACGAAAAACGCGCCGCTCAGTGGCGATGAACCCGACGAGGAGCAGACGGCGGCGGGCACAGACAATGAGCAGGAACAGGAACAGCAGCCAGTAGATGGCCAGAGGCAGGCTCAGCAGGCACAGCATACAAATGAGCTGCAGGCACATCAATCGACGGCGAAGCCACTTCAGCGGCGTCAAAGGCAACGCAAGAAATTGATAGCCCAGCAGCAGAAGCAGAAGCAGAAGCAGCAACAACAGCAGCAGCAGCAACAGAGGGCCGCCCTCTCGGATGCGGACACGGACTCCAGCTCGTGCGAGGCGGCGGGCACGACCAGCACACGGGTCAGCTATGCGCAGCGCAACCTTAGCGACCAGGTGGTCTACGAGCAGTACAACGACGATGACGACTACGACGAGGAGGATGAGGAGGAGGAGGAGGAGGACGAGGATGGGGATGGGGATGGGGATGGGGAGGACTACGATGACTACGAGCAGCTGGCCACGCAGCGTGCACCCCTGAAGACAGCGCTACGAGTGCGAACCCATGCGCCCGCCGGCACAGCTGGCGGGGATCCGGGCAGCGAGACCGGTTCGGTGCGGGCCAAGCGCAAAACGAAAACACGTCAATTCTCGCAGCGCACCAGCTCCTATGCGGTGGACGCGGGCCACGGTGAGCCGGATGCGGAAGCGCTGGACAAGCGTCGTTGCATCTCCAAAGGGCAAATGCGAGGTGAGTGAAGCCAAGCAGAAGGCTTGGACAGTCATCAGTGTGTTTGCTGCCTTCCAGAGTTCCGTGAGGCGTTCCGTCTGTTCGACAAGGATGGCGACGGCTGCATCACCAAAGAGGAACTCGGCACAGTGATGCGCTCGCTGGGACAGTTTGCGCGTGTCGAGGAGCTGCAAGAGATGCTGCAGGAAATCGATGTGGATGGTGTGTAGGCCCGTTCTCTCTCTCTCTCCCTTTCTCTATCTCTGTCTGTCTCTGTCTCTTTTTATTTCTGTGACTTCCCTCCGCAGGCGATGGCAATGTGAGCTTCGAGGAGTTTGTCGACATTCTGTCGAACATGACATACGAGGACAAGTCGGGCCTGTCCTCAGCCGACCAAGAGGAGCGCGAGCTGCGCGACGCCTTTCGTGTCTTTGACAAGCACAATCGTGGCTATATAACCGCCTCCGATTTGCGTGCCGTGCTGCAGTGCCTGGGCGAGGATCTCGACGAGGAGGATAGTGAGTAAACCAATATCTATAATCCTAGTAGCATATAGATATAGATAAGACCATGCAAGTCATTTACATCGTCTGCCCAGTCTAGTGCTATCTACAATTCCTCTCTCATATCGTAGCCCTTAGTCTATACCATATTGCTTTACTCCCTGCTTTTCCATATAGTTGAGGACATGATCAAGGAGGTGGATGTCGATGGTGATGGACGCATCGATTTCTATGAGTTTGTCCATGCCCTGGGCGAGCCGGAGGACTCGCAGGAGAATGACGATGAAGAGGAGACATCGCCATTGCCCACGCCCAAGTCCACGGTCTCCTTGAGCTACGAGTGAACGTTGCGATCGCGCTCAAGATTTTTGCTCCAATTCCAAGCAACGATATGTGGAATATATCAAAACGCCATTTGCTCCGAACGCACAGCTAAACAAATTTGCAATGAATAAATTAATACGAAATTCTTTCAATAATAATTCAACTAATACATAAAATACATAAAAATAAACAACTTTTACTTTACTAATATGATAATATAATGATACAGCTATATATATATTCCAAGTAAATTAATTATAGATAATTCTAGTCTCCCCCTCTCTAACTCAATTTCCATTTTAATTCGAACATTGAATCAAAAGGTATCTAAATCGAGAATCTTAGCTTATATTCTATTTAAACTTGACTTTAACTATATACAATGTTATAATTAACTGTTGTTTACACCACACAACGTCGATTTGTCAAAAAAAAAAAAAAAAAAAAAAAAAAAAAAACATAAACATATCAAATTCGCCTCTGATTAAGTATTTTCCTCTCACAGTCAACCACCAAACACCAACCACCAAACAGAAAAACTCTATATCTCATCGAAATACAAATTCTCTAACAGATAATACCGAAAATACCAACAAACTACCGAAAAAATACCAATGCAATATTGAGAAAATACCACAAAAATACCAAATTGTTGCCCAGTTCTGCGGCGCTTTTATAGATATTCAAAATAGCAAAAGAATGCAAAATTGTAGCGTTTATCCATTTTGGGCTAAGACTTAATAATAAAATGTATTTAAGCAATTCTTTTCTTCCACGATTCAACATTTAAAAGGGATGCATATAAATAATACTAATTACGATTTACGATTTACGCATTACGAATATATATATATATACATATACATATATACATATTTATATACTTAACATATATACATATGACAAATTTATTTAGCTAATGATACGAATATTTGCTCAATTATTGTAGCAGCTGCGCCGACAAATGGCAAAACTTTAATTACAATCTAATGTAAACTTTTTATTCCATCGAAAACGAAATCAAAATCAAACAAAATAAATACAAAAAAAAATCAAATAAAAATAAAAATGAATTTTAAAAACTAAATAGAAAAGCAATCTTCTTTTATGTGAGGGGAAGGGGAATAAATTTATTCTAGTATATTGATATAAGAGTTCTTTGAGTATATTGGGGATTTATTTAATATTTATTAATAGCCATCTGACAGCACAATATAATTGGGGCATATTAGTTCGGAGGATATATACTAATAATAGTCAGAGTATATGCTAAACATAGTCACGGGAAATACCAGCTCTATGAGCTATACAATTAATATAATAATAATAATTTTATAATTTTTGTTTTCTCTTTCTTTCAATATGTTTTCCTATACATATAGTATATTCTATATATACGAATAAATTTATTATGTTATATTTATTATATATTCTAGTAACCTTTTCTCATATTTTCCTACTCTTTCTTTCAGTATTTTTTCGTATAAATATATAGTATATTCTATATATACGAATAACACTATCCACTTTCACTTTCTCTAACTATAATTGTCAAGCAACGGCCAAAAGATGATGAGCTGCCATCAGTCTTAACTATGTCTGCAGTACTGAGTATGTGCTAGTCGAGCATTGCCATTTTCAGTGCATACTCAACTTGTTTAATTATCACAGGCCGAGTTAAGCTTATTGCTATTTCATATGGTTACAGCTGTAATGTGGCCCTAATTAATCCTCCATTCTAGCTAATTCATGTTTAAGCACGGCCCTTATATATACATATACACATACATACATGTGCACACGTGTGTGTATGTTGCTCTTACACGAGCTGCCCAATTGACAGCAAATCAAGCCGAAAACCTTTTGTCCACAGCTGAGCCAGATAATTTGCCGAAATTTAAAAACTAAATTACCATATGAAATTCCCATATATGTATATATATATATATAGAAGAGCATGTGTATGTGTATGCCACACAATATAAGGCAACAATCAGTGCAAGCAACAGCTATGGGCCGCTTTTCACTCGAGCTGCGGTCAGCAGCAGTTGGTTCCCAAGGCGCAAATTTAGGCGTTGGCTCGGCTCGGCTTGGCTCGGCTCGGACGCTGCGTTGGCAAAAGTCACATTAATGGTCATGTAACGGAAGCCAGTCAAGTGCTCAGCCAGCAAATTATTAGGGGTAGCCACACACACACACACACACACACAGCCAGCCAGAGAGAGAGAGAGAGAGCGAGAGGGAGAGCCTCTCAACGAGCTATGCGGCGTATGCGTAATATCTGTTGTCAGCTCAGTCGAGGGGCGAGGCCATTCAATTTAAATACAATATGTTTATATAAAAGCATATTTGTGTAGCGCTTAGTTATATATGTAAAATATGCCTGATTGCTTTCCACTATTGTCCAAAAGCTATTTGGGCTCCATTCAACTTCAATTCCTTTGACAGTTTAGCTCGTCGAGCTGTGGTTGCGTTTGCTTTGCTTTGCCTTGCTTTGCTCGGCTTTTGCCTTTGCTGTTGCTTTGCTGTGGGGCCTGGCGCCACTTGAGACTGGCAAAAGTTTCTCTTTTTATTTTTAATTAAAAGGCCCGGCTCGGGCTTTTGACTGATTAACAACGTGGGCCGGCCTTTGGGGATCCGGAAGCTGCCAACGGCTCCGCTCCCCCCACTTGGCTAACTCATTTTGGGCCAATTTGAGCGCCCGGCGGCCGCAGCTCCATTTTGTTATCCACAAATTTTGATGTGTTCGTTCCTATTTATTTACTTATTTATTTATTTATTTATTTATTCGCATATCTGTTTTTGATGTCTGTAAATTTTCGCATTTACGGCCGTTATTTCTAATTAATTTTAATGAGCGCTGAACGGCCATAAAGGCTGGCCCCAAGAGGGACGCCCCATCGACCCACGCCAGCCCATCAGCCAGCCTTTGTGTGTGCGCTCTTTGTTATCTGGCTGATTGATATATAGCTAATACTTCAATACTGATATATTGAAGCTGCCAGTGCGTGTGTCTGCCATATCCGAGCGGGGTCCACATAAATCATAAGCTCTGCCCCCTCCCCTTTTTATTTTGCAGTCATCCAAATACTCTGCCCGTCTGTGGATATGGAAACTCTTGCACTGGCTGACTGAATGAAACATGTCCAGGATTTGTTGACTTGACTAGAGTCGATTACGAACAAACAAATAAATCGGCATATGAAATCATCAGCTTTTTTACTCTATATCGAATTGGATTGGGAAACAAATAAGACAACCATTGAAAAATAAATATGGTTTTGTTTTCTCTTACATAAGAACTCTCTAACTCAGAGAGATGATCCTTGAAGGGCGCCTATTCGAGCTTCACACAGAGCCACATAGATCTCGCATAGTATATGGAATATTTATATATATATACATATGTATTCATATGTAGCCACAATCTCATATAAATTTAAAAAGTGTATTTAATCTTCGTTCTCTTATTTACTCACATTATCATTATCATTATCATTATCATACATATGTACATAATTACGTTAATATAATAGGAATTGTCGTTGGTTAAACGACGATAAATCAGTTGAGTTTCAGCCTGAATTGTAGGGGCCATTGATGCTCTTGGTCATTATGGGGGTCGACTAATGTAATCGCAGTCATTAAAATGTTGATTTTATATAGTTGATACAAGAGGCAAATAATGCTGAAGGAACTATCCCAACAACCCATTGAATGAGTGAGCTAAAGCGATCGATGCGAACATCCACTCGTCTTATTTCAATCTCTGATTATATAAGCTTTACCTATTACCTTTATTTTTAAGTAAACTTCTACTTTAAATACTCATCTAATCATTTTTGTATATTTATAGAGTGCAAATACATTTCTTTTGTACCCATACTCGAATACCCTTATTGCTGAGGATGATAGATATTTCACATGTACCTTACCTATAATATAATACCTATAACTATAATACCTATAACTATATAATATAAAATAAATATATTTATATTCTATATTTAATATTCAACATAAACACATTATTGACTGATTGAATTTTCGAGTTATTTAATTTTATTCATGTCTCTATGTAATATAAAATATAAATCGGTTTTCCGAACGGGTTGCGAACTGTTTCGCTCGACAAATCATTTTGGTGTTTGCTGCCTGCTGCCTCAATATCCAAATTTCATTTCATTCAAAATTTATTGACTGCAATTTCGTTTTGTTTGGTGCGATGATCGACGTTGGAGTTCAACTGTTTTTCTGTGTGTTTTGTTTTGTGTACATACTATATATATATGTAGATAGATATCCATGACAAAGACTGCGACTTTGACTCTCAAATTGAATCGTTTGCGAATTGGCGTTTTTCTTTTGTTTTCTCTCAAATCTCAAATTCGGTTCGAGATCCGCTAATCCTTGACAATTAACTTGGCCCGCAGCAGCTTCTCCAGCTTCAGGCAGAACTCCGACTTGGCAATGCCCGCATCGAGGAGCACCTCGCCGTCCCGGCGCTTCCGCACCGACAGCGGCGGGTCAATGTCGAGCGGCTGCTGCTGTTGCTGCTCCTCCATGGCGCTGTTCAGTCGCGACGGCATCGATGCTTGCTCAGCCGAGCGCCTAACAGTGCCGCCGCCGCCACCGCCGCTGCCAACGCCGCTGCTGCTGCCCTTGGCGGTGATGCCGCGCAAATAGCTGTAGCCGGGCAGCCAGCGGCGCAGCAGGCGATCCAGTCGGGCCAGCGGACGCAGCTTGGACATGCGTTGGCTGCCGCTATCGTTGATGCTGTCCGTCCCATTGGAGCTGTTGCTGTCGCAGCTGCTGTTGTTGTCCCTGTCTAGCCTGCTGCCGCTGCGGCTGCTAGCCGCCATAACTGACGCCGTCGCCGTCGCCGTCGCCGATCGCCCTCCGCCATCCGTACCAGCGCTGAGTCGCCCGAGCGTGAGATCGGTGCGGCGTGACATTTGGTTTGGCATGGAAGTATCCTACGGGTGGTAGTTAAGTTCCAGAAACAATACGTACTGTACCGGCCTAATTTGTATTGTAAAAAATATAAACAAAAACTGAGCACTGAAAAGATTCGCAGGGAGCTACCAAAATTCCAACACATGACAATTTACGCCCAGGGCAGCCTGATTCCGGCTGTCAATTCAAGGGTACATAGACAACAAATACATGTGTGTGTGTGTGTGTGTGTGTGTGTGTGTGTGTGTATTGTGGCATATTTGTGGTCATGCACGTGCTGACATATCGGAGCGTACGTGCTGCCATTGCTGTCCAGCTTCCTGCATCCTGCCAGCTGCATCCTGCCAACTGCATCCTGCTGCTTGATTTGTCGCTGGGCATTATAAGCTTAATGTGTGTGCGTGTGTGTATGTGTGTGTCTGTGTGCGACCCTTGAATGACAGGGCACTTTGGGGCTACAGTTGGAGCTACGCAGCGACAGTTGCAAGCGCAGCCACCCCAACAGCACAAAAACCTGCAATCCCCATGCAACTAAATCTCGCACAGATAAATGACAGCATTGCGACTTTAAGACTCACGCCCCAACTGCACCACCAGCACCACCAGACAGAACAAGGAATAAGTAAATGAACTAATAAATGTGCTTGCAGCTCAGAACCGAAATATTTTATAAATTGAGCTACATTTGCAGCAATTGCATTTCACGCTTGATTCATGTAAATTGCTTTCTCAAGATTAAAGTCCAAAGGCCAAGACGAGAGCTCAAGCACTGGCGCCAGCCAGCTCTAAGAACACAATTCTGTGTTGTTAATAAACCCAAATACTCTGACGAAAACGAATGATTCAAGAGCAAGTGAGAGAATGAGAGAGCTGCCGTCGGGTAGTATCGACTGTGCAATACTCATGCACAGTGCAACACGAGTTGAGTCAGATTGAAGTTTGGGATGTATATATAGCATATAGCATATAGCATATAGCATATAGCATATAGCATATAGCATATA